AAGTAACTAGAATATGGTGACAAAAACATAAAATAAGATGGTACCTTTGAACTCAAATATTAGCATTCACATTAAACATAAATAAACCTATGTTTCAGTTAAAAGTCAAAAATTGTCAAAGTTGCCATTAAAATGTTTTCATGGGCTATTTACAAAGTCTTGCTTAAACAGAAGTATAGACATTGAAATTGAAAGGTGGAAAAAATACACCATAAATATACTCACCAAAAGAAAGCTGTTAAGCTATATTATCACAAAAATAAGTGAATTTTAGAAAACCATAATTTTATCAGAGATAAAGAAGCTCAATTCACATAAAGATACAGATATAAGACATATGAATTATAGATATAATATATATCAAACAACAGTTGAAAGAACTAAAGGGAAAAATTGAAAAAAATCGAAAGTGAAAGATTTTCTAACGGGATTAATACAGCAGGTCAGGTGGACCAAAAAAATCAGTAAGAATATAGATATAAACAAAACAATGAGTAATCTTAATTGAAAGGTCAAATCATTATACCAGATAATCACAGAATACAAATCTTTCCAAGCACCCATGAAGCATTTGCCAAAACTGACCAAATACTAGGACATAAAGCAAGAGTCAACACATTGCAAATGATTGAATCAATTTAGAGTATGTTCTCTGATTATGAGTGAAACTAAATTGGAAATCAATACCAAAACTATAACCCACATGTCACAATATGTTTGGTAATGAAAAAATGATATCTCCAAATAACTCATAGATCAAATCAGACATCATAGTAAAAACTAGAAAGTATTTTGAACCAAACGGTCATGAAAACACTCTCTATCAAAGCTTCTGAGATGCAAGTAGAAATGTGCTCAGAGGGAAATTCTTAAAGCCTGAACTGTGTATTTTAGGAAATAGAACAAACTGCACATTAATTAGCTGAGCACATATCACAAGAAGTTAGAAAAAGAACAGCAAAGTAACAACACGAGAGTGGAAGGATAGAATTAATAAAAATAAGAACAGAATTTGGTGGAACACAGAAAAGAAGCATTCGGGAGAGAAAAATCAATATGCCAACAGTTGGTTCTTTCAAAAGACTAATAAAATAACAAACCTCCAGTAATACTGTGCAAAGAAAAAGAAAGGGATGCAAGCAGCCTTCGGAATGAAAAAAAGCCATCCGTACAGATGGCCCAGACATTGAACAGATAAGAGAACAGCATGAAGAAACTTACGCCAATAAATTTCAAATGTTAGATGTAGTGGACAGAAATTCTAGAAAAATCCTAGTTGCCAAAAATTATAATGAAGAAACGAAAATCTGAATCATCTTCTAACCATTAAAGAAATCGAATCAATTGTCAATGATGTTCCCACAAATTAAATTCAAGCCTCATCAGACCTCACTGGTGAGCTCCACCAAACAGCAAAGAAAAAAAATAATGTTACTTCAGTCCTCCACAAGAGCCCTGTTGGGGTATAAAGAGAAAATTCCTCAACCCTTTGTAGGAGTCTTACTTCACCTTGATACCAAAACCTCATCAGGACATTGGGTTAGCCAGCTTTGGGTCACTCGGTGTCACCAAAATAATCTGACAAGAACAACTCAGAGGAGGAAGAGTTTTAAGGTGGTTCACAGTGTCAGAGTTTAGTTTATGGTCAGCCGAGTTTATTGCTCTGGGTCCAAGGTGAGGCGGCATATCATGGAGGAAAAGTGTGCAGAGAGAAGCTGCCTCAGGACATGGCAGCTGGGAATCACAAAGAGAGAAAGGGAAGGGACTACAGGGAATGTGCACCTTGCCAGTGCAAGCCCCCACACTGACCAACCACCTCCAGCCCTGGCCCCACCAGCCTGTAGTCACCGCAAGGTCAGCCCTTCAGACAAGGATGGACGGATTCGTTTACAGCTCTCACAATCCAACCATGTCACCTCGGAACATTCCTGTATTATTAACACAGGATATTTTGGAGGACCCCTCATATCCAAACCATAACATTCCACCCCTGGCCCCCAAAAGCTCATGTCCACCACATAATGAAAAATGCAGTTAGTTGATTTTTTTCAGGAGACCCCGTAGTCTTAGCAAAATCTCCCCAAATCCAAGTTCAAAATGTCTTCTGAGACTCAAGGCAGACTCTTGGCAGTGAGCCTCTGTAAAGATCAAAAGCAATTACATATATCCAATACACAGTGGCACAGAGTAAATATTATCATTCCAAAAGGGAAGAATAGGGGCTTAGAAAGAAGGGGTAGGACCAAACAAGACTGAAAACCTGCAGGCAAACAGGTCCCTTAACACCACCTATTGCCTCTTGGGTACCTGGGGGAAGATGTTCTCTCCAAAGGGCTTTGGAAGTTTAGGGAAGGCTCTGGCCTTGCCAGTTGCTGTGCTCATGGTCTCTCCCTTAGTCTGGTTCTCTCTGCAGCCAGCAGATTTTCTCAGCAGATAATCCACATTACTGGCATCTTTTAATTTCTAGGGTCTGCCTTCCAGCTTCGTCCCCACCTTCACAGGGCCACTTATCACCCTCTCAGGGCCACCTGCACAAATGCTGACCCTGCTCCACCTTGCCTGGCATTCCCAGATCTTTCCTCAAAATCCTGGTGGAACCCTCCATGATGGCTTAACTTCAGCTTCCTTCATTCCCGCAGAACCAGCAGCACGTGGATGATGCCAAGGTCTGCCACCAGCTCATGGTGACCCCTGTCATCTTAGCCATCTGCAGCACCCTCTCAGTACCTGGGTGGCTGAGCACAGTGTCAAAAATTTCCTAGGACCCCTTGTGCAAGCAGGGCATCACCAGGATCTCTTCTCAAAGGAATTTTTCCTTCTACATCCTTAAACCTGTGATGGGTGTGGTCTTGCAAATTCCTGAGATGCCTTCAAGCCTTCTTTTCCTCTATGTGAAGTACTTAGCATGTCTTTCATGGCTAACATCTCTTCAATAGTCACACCTTTCTTGCCCCCGATTTTAAATGCACTTTTTTTGGTCAAACTGCAAGTTTTTATTCAGCTCTGCTTTCTGCTCCTGATTCTCACTGTAAATTTGGCTAAAAGCTTCTATCAAAATTCATGCCACTGACTGAATGCTATGCTGCCTTGGAATTTCCTCCGCCAGATTAATTATCTCACTGCTTTAAAATTCAGCATCAGGCAAAGTTTCAGGACATAGGAAATGTAGAAAAGTTCTTTGCCAGAGTGTCACATGAAGAGCCTTTAGTCCAGTTCCCTCTAGATTCCTCATTTTCCTCTGAACCCTCATGAGCATAGTCCACATTCCTATAGGAATTCTGGTCTTCTGGGCTCCCACCAGAATTTCCCATTAAGCTCTGCTCACAGCAATCTAAGATTTATCTATTCTGCATCCCCAAACTTTCCCAAACTCTTCCCCAAAATCAGTTCCAAATGCCTCTGAACCACATGGCCAGGGATTGTAAAAGAATTATAGACCCATCTTCCTTCCCAAGGACTCCCATCCCCAGTATCAATTTCTCTGTTAGTGAGCTTTGTGTCACTGTGACCAAAATACTTGACAAGAATTTAGAGGAGGAAAAGTTTATTTTGATTTTTATTTCAGAGGTTCGATTCATGATTGTCTGAGTCCATTGCTCTAAGACCAAGATGAGGCAGCACACCATGGCAGGAGGCCTACCAGAGGGAAGCTGCTCAGGACATGGCAGCCAGGAAGCCAAGAGAGAGAAAGGGGAAGGGGTCCCAGGGAAGGTCCGTCCTTCCAGGGCACACCCCACTGACCCACCGTCCTCCGGCCACATCCCACCTGCCTACGTTTACCAGACAGTTAACCCAAACTCGGATGGGTTGATTAGGTTATAGCTCTCAGAGTCCACCCGTTTTACCTCCAAACACTTCTGCATTAACTCAGGAGCGTTGCGGGGGGTGGAGGAGGGGACACCTCACATCCAAACCATAACAGACCGTAAGAAAAAGAATTATAGAGCCGTCTTCCTTCCCAAAAGTAACTAGCAAAGTGAAGCCATCCGTGTCAGTTTATCTAGAAATGCAAATGTTAGTTTTAAGACTAGAAAATTAATCAGTGCAATCCACTATATTAACTGACCAAAGGAGAAAAATTGCACCATTATTTCAACAGTTGCGGGGGGAGGATAAAATGATAAAATCCAGTATTCTTGCATGTCAGAGACTCTTGAGCTAGAAATAGAGAATGTCTCTAAAGGTAACACTGTCCAGATCAAGTAGACTCAGCTTCGGAAGAAAGGGCAAGTGTCAAGGGCTTAATACATCAAAGTTATCTCCCATCACACAGATCCCATGCAGGTTCACGAGATCTATGGGGAGTTTCTGTGGCAGATGAGCACAGCTCATGGCTATTCCAAGACAGGCCTCTCCTTCCACTGACGGCAGGATCCTCCGAAGTCAGTCCACCCAACTATCCCCTAACCTTGCTCCATGCTGCATCCCATCTTATACCTTTCAGCCTCAGTGCCTGATTTGGACTAAGAAACTACACTTACCCATTGTCCCCCACAGGGGACATCATGATGTTCCTCAAACATTTTTATTTCTTGCACTGGGGATTGAACCCAGGGGCACTTGACCTCTGAACTACATCCCCAACTTTTTAACACTTTTGAATTTTATTTTGAGACAGGTCCTCAGTAAGTTGCCGAGGCTGGCCTCAAACTTGCGATCCTCCAGTCTCAGCCCCACGAGTCTCTGGGATTATAGGCGTGGCCCCTGCACCAGTCTTCCAGCATATTCTGGTATCTGGTTCTGTGGGCCCGTTGCTCTGTAGGCTCCGCCCTTGCAGTCTTCCTCTCGATAAAAGTACTGCAGGGGGGTGTAGAAGACTGTTAGGGAGGCTCGAGATTACAGAGATGATACCCTTGCGCTTGCCGTTGGCCCATGAAGGAGAGCATGCCAGGGTCGTGCCCACTCAGGGCAGGCAGAGGTCTTAACACCTGCCTGGACTCACACCACAGGGTGGCGAGCATCTGTCTGGACATGCAGCATCATGATTCTCTCCTGCCTAGGAATGTACCAGGTGACCCAGGGCATCATCTCACCTGTCAATGATGACTATGGGAAGAAGGACTTGGTGGCTTCTCAACACCGAGTGGCCATGGCCCGGCTGGCCCTGCAGACATCAGACTGGATCCGGGTGGACCCCTGGGAGAGCGAGCAGCCACAGTGGATGGAGACGGTGAAGGTGCTGAGGTAAAGGTGGTCATGTCTTGTGCCATGGCCTGCAGGGTCCGTGGGGGAAGGGAGGGAAGGGGAGCAGAATGGGGCTTCATTCAGACCTCTTCAGCCAAGGTCTGAGAAGTGTCTCCAGTGAGAGAGACCGACAGTCACCTTTTCAGAGAGGTCCCCAAGCCACTGTCCATCAGGAGGCACACTTGTACTTGTGGAGAGACCCCCCAATCTTCTGTCGGAGAGCTGTAGCATCAGGCCCTGGGCCATCACTCAGTTGCTACGTGACTCTGATCAAGTGACTTAACCTCTCTGAGACCTATTTCTTACCTGTGAACTGAGGACAATAAAACCTAATGAGGATTTTTTTTCAATATAAATAACTCTCATGACCTTGAACAGTCTAATAACTTTCATTATGATTATTTTTGTCATTCACTGGCTTGGAAATTGAATCTATACAATAAGCTTTTTTGCTTGCACAAATCTTAGGTTCTCTAAATCTAGACTTTTATGTAGAATAGAAAAAAAGAAAGACCGTGAATCTAGAAATAGTTCCTCAAGATTTTTTTCCTGTCTGTCTTTTGAAATTGCTGTTAGTGTTCAACATAAGTAACACAGCTCTTCCAAGCCCAGGACCAGAGTGTTTAGGGGAGAAGCAGGCAGTTTCGTCTGCCCTGGCTGTCACCATCAGTCACCACCGCCAGCTCCATGTCAGGGACTGCAGGCTGCAGGCGGGGTCTTCTATTTGGAAGCACCAGGATTTTCACAGAATGGGAGGAACATGGACCAAGTCAACTCATTGGCAGCCCTGTCCATAATGTGTTCAGCCTCGGTTGTTTACTTATTTGCCGAGGCACTTGGAAGGAAACTGTTCGAGTTTTGAGTAAAGGTAAACATGGAGACTGCATGTCCTGGTTCCAATGACTTCACCTTCTGCTGGGGAAGAACAGCTAGGAGCAAGTCACCAGTTACAGCGCCACTTCAGAAGCTGCTGCTGAACCGAAAGGAGAGCAAATAGGAAATACTTGTCAAGATGTGTTCATCCTCTTTTTTTTTTAACCACCCCTTGGGATAAGCAAAGGCTCATATATTGAAAACTGCACAAGGAATAAATTTGCACCTGGATCATCCTTTTAGAATGAGTCACGGTCTCATTTGTCTAGGCTAACAGAGGGGAACAGAAGCAAGACAATAGATGACACAACAAATCACTTAGTCTGCAGGGATCTGCCTTCCCTGCCACCGGGAGAGGCAGGTTGTGGAGGGCACAGGCTTTGAAGCCAAACTGACCAGTGGAATGACTCGGTGTAAGTGGCATGGCCTCCTCCCTGAGCCTCCATTCCTCACCTAATAAAATGGGTGACATCATCTACCACACAGGATTCTGTGATGATGCAGCAAAAACCTGGTTTATGGGAGGCGCTGGATAATGCCAGCTCCCCTCTCTGCATCCTCAACATGAGGCTGACATGACTTCTCCTCAGAGCCCGTCTGTCATTCATGGATACACAGGCAGTGACCAAGAGTAATTTAATGTCACTCATGCTTCTGCTGCAAAATGCAAGTGTGAGCCACAATTTTACTGCACATACTCTTTATATTTTTTTTTTCTTTCTTTCTTTCTATTTTTTTTTTTTTTACTATATTCTGTATTCCACCGCTGGCTATACATTGGAACCACCTGGGGAGCGTGGAAAAATTTAGGTGGCTGTGATATCACTGGTTGGGGGCGGGGTACTGAAATTTTTGAAGAGTTCCCTGGTGATGCTAATGTGTGGCTAGTGTTGAGTCCCCCAGACTCGGTCACTGAGCATGTAACTCACTTCTGATTTAAACTGAGGTCCACTCAAGGCAGTGGTCAAAAACCCTGGCTGCAGGGATCACTTGGAAAACTTTTTTTTAAAATGCTCACCATCATCCCAGAGGTTTGGGTTTGCCGGGGTGGACTCTAAGTGTGGGTCAGAGTCCCGGATGATTTATGCGCTGCCGTGGTTGAGAATCATGATGTAGATGACAGTTTTCACGGAGAGATGATGGGAGATCTTTTAAAGGTTGAAAATCTGGTTAAAATGGTCAAGTCAGGTGGTGTGGGCAGCACGGCAGGAACTGGTCCCATCATTGCTCCATTGAGTCCCCTTCTGGTAGAGTCCACGATGGATCCATACCACAGTGACACAGTAGCAAATGACATCAGGATGAATCTCACAGTGGTATCAATTCCCCATGGAGCTTATTGAAGATTATTTTTCTTTTTCCCAGATTGTTTATTTATTTATTTATTTATTTTTAAAATCGCGGCCACTTTTGTGTCCTCAGGACATTGGCAGCTTTCCTTCTCTGGGAGCTGTGGGCAGGAGAGTCTCACGGTGCCAGCTCCTGTGGCTCATCACCCGCTATCCTTCCATTCCAAGCATGATCTTAAGTTGTCCTCATTTCACAGATGAGAAAACTGAGAGGCTAAGTTAGTCACAGTCACACAAATCAGCAGGAGGTGGTGCTCCAGTCGGCCCCACTCGGAAGCCATGCCGTGGCCATCTCTAAGGACAGTGACCTGCCGGCTGGGAGCATGGGGTAGCTGTCTTTGCTCTTGCCATTCTCACCCTCTGAAGGGGCTTCCTTGGAGATCAGGGGGCTGCTGGGGACACAGGGAGCATGCTGCCAGCGTCAAGTCACAGGCCCAGTGCTGGCCACACAAGGACAAGCAGCAGCAGCAGTGGCCCCCTGGCCCAAGAGACAGAGAGGAAGTCCACAAGGAAAGCACACTTGGTACTGAAGGTCATCATTTGAACAACAAGATCCAGAGAGCCAAGATTCAAAGTAGAGACAACCTGAACTAGGAGCTTAGAGACAAGTAAAACGAGATGCCAGTCACTACCTTAAGGCCCCGCCTGATGCCAGGCTCCCTCATGCACATGGCTCTAAGAGCTCTGCAACTCTGAGAGGTTGGGTTCAGCCCCATTTTACAGATGGGGGGATGGAGGCTCTGGAAGGCCCAGCAATATTCTCAAAGTCCTACAGTCAGAAAGCGGAGGGGGGACTCAAACCTACTTCAGTCTGAAGAGTGGGCGCAAACCAAGCCGAGACACACCTTCAGAGAGGAAGCTTTCCAAGCCACGCGGCCAAACAGCCATGGAAGCGGCCTAGCCAGGCCCTGGGGAGACTCAGCCGAGTCTCTGAAGCAGTCGAAGGGCCTTGGGCCAGGGTGAGATGTCTCCACGTACCCACTCCTTCCCTGGCTCCTGAGTTCATGAGTCTGCAAGTGGGCACTTTCTAAGGAAATAAGAATATGAAGGTGAATGAAATGAGGTCCTTATTCACAGTCTGGTGGGATGACAGACTGAGGAGTGTTACCGTAACAACAGGTGAACTCTACTGAGCAGGTCCTGCATGGGCTAAGCTTTCCTGTTCCGCCACGCCTCCTCCTGGTCCCAATCAGCAGGGGCCGCTTCCCCAGCCTTTGCAAGGTAGAGCACTTTCTCTGTGGTCTTATGTGCTGCCGATGAGGCCGAGTGAACTTTCACGATCAATTAACAGATGAGGTCAATGAGGCTCAGAAAGTGTCAGTGACTCGTCCAGGTTCTCGGAGCACTTGGCTTGCACTTGAACTTGAACCCACAAGGTCTGGCTGCAGAGCATGTGCATTTCCACCAGGCTCCGCCCCCTCCCACAGGCGGCTCTAGCAAAGGCATAAAAATAAGAAGAGGGAAGATTGGGTCCGTGCAGGAAAGTGTGTACGGTGATTTCCTGTGTTCTATAAGAGAAGAAGGTGCAGGTACCGCCTGGCTTAAGGAAGACAGATGGTTTAAAATGCTGAGCATGCCCAGTGGGTGCAAGTCTAATCCTCTCCAGAATGCTCAGTGCATCCATTAACTCTTCATCTCCAGGTGGGCACTGTCATCACCTCCTCTTTGCAGAACCATTCACAAAGACTCAGAATCCTTCTCCCAGGGTCACACAGCCTCAGGGGAGCTGTGACTCCCCTCACGCCATCTGACTCCAAGCCCTGGCTCTCAGTCATCACCCTGCTGCATTTTAAAGCACTGGTTTATACGAAGAGCAGGGTCTCTCTAGAGAGCGAGCTGGGGGCTAGGATGTGCCGGGGTTTGGTGTGAGTAAGCTCCTCACTTTCACAGAAGCCCACGACACAGGCATTACCACTTGAAGCCACGTGCTCAGCTCTGTCCCTAATGGTGGGGTCCTTCACTTTCACTTAGCACTGACCTCTGTATTTTTAAAGTGGGAAATATTGAAGGAAATGTTGAAAGAACCCACATGGCACAGAAAGTAGTGAGGTGTCTTGGAGGGGACTCTCTGGGACAACCCAGATGGCATCTGCTTCCTGTCCCAGCACCTGGCACAGTGCCAGGCACACAGGGTGCCCTCAACAAATATTATAGGATGAACAGATAAAGGTGGATAGGAACAGGTCAGGGACTTAAATTCTGAGACCCCTGGGTGGCTCTGGGGATGGGAGGGCCACATACCTGAGCCCCTGTGTTTATGCTGCAGGCACCATCACAGCCAGCTGCTCAGATCTCCACCCCCGATGGAAGGCTCGGACCCTGGCCAGGAGCCCTCAGCACCCACAGGTGGGTGCTCACTCTCTCTTCACAGGAGGGGGGATGCCAGCGATCCCTGTGAGCATTGATAGTGTCACAGCTGCGGAGGACTTGAGGCCAGTCCTCTGAGCTCAGACAAGGAATGTGCTGCCCACCTGGTTGGGTGAATCTGTCAAGGTCAAAAGCTCAGATTCAACTACCTGCCACCCCTCTCCTCCATAAATTATTGTGCTAATTTGGGATTTACTGCCCAAAGGAGTTTACCTACCCCGTGACCTGTGCTTGTGACATGGATTACAGGGATACACTGGTGAGTGTCGCTGGGATTCTTTTAAAAGCCTTATTTAGCCTTTTTGAATTCAAACTGTGTCATTTAAAATGTGGACAGAGAGAGTACCACTTTCTCACAGTTACTCAAACCTATTTTTAAGGGAATTTATAGTCAATTTGGATGATCCCCTAACCCTGACCCCACGTTTCACCTCTTGTCACCTCCTGGTGGTTGATGGAGGCTTGCTGCCTGTGACATCAGGGGACGCACAGCCCTGGTATCCATGGACACAGGCATGACCTTCTTATGAAAGCAAGCAGGGTCCCCACATGGTGGTGGGGGTCAGGGGTGGGAACAGGATGTGACGTGCAAGGGGACACTGGCCCCACTGGGCTGAGATTCCACCTGTCCATCTGCTCAGTCTTCTATTATGGGGTCTACAACTTGGGTTGGTGGGACACACTTCCACACTGCCAAGGAGAGGTGCACCTCAGATGTTTTAGCCATGCAGAACTTTCCAGAACCTTAACTACTTCCATGTGCATTGTGACTCATCAAGAAAGGGAAAATGCCCTGAGCCATCCCTACTTTTTAACCCTGGAACTCTTTTCCAATGCCTTTTTGTGTTTCTCAGACCCAATGCTCCCGAGCAGGAAGGGAACACACGTCTAAAAGGACTTGGAAATGCCACCAGGCCCTGACAGAGGAATGCTGGTCAATGGATCCCACCCAGCAGAATCACCTGAGGGCTGCTCAAAAACACTGATTCCCAGGCCTTCTGCGTAGGAATGGGGCCCAGGAATCTGGATGTTTAATAAGCACTTGGGGTTTACTTTACAGCCAGTTTGGGGGACTTTGCACCAGAGTAAGAATCTAAGAAGGAGTTCTGGTGCCTCCTACATATGCTCCCCGGCACTTACCTGGGCCAGACTCTGGGCTCAGACTGAGAACAGGGACAGCCAGTGCCAGCCCCTGCCCTGAGCTGGAGACAGGTGTAAAGGAGAAAGTCCAAGCTTGAGTCAGGAAGGTGACGACTGAGTCCCACCCACAGGCCACATAGGCTCTGGAGGTCAGAGGTATTTCAGGACAGAAGGGCAGGCTAGGGCACAAGGCAGGAATTGGCATCGGTGTGGGTCACTCTGTGCCCACGGAACGCCACAGCCTGCAGAGCATGCGGAGCAGTCAGGGTGGCGTGGAGACCCAGCCCTCTCGCACCTGCTCTGCAGAGACTTCCAGAGTCTGTCTCCTCTCTTTCCCTGACTGTTCCTCTTCCCCTTCCCTTTTTGGATCCCCAGTGGAAACCCTCCCTGTCCTGCAGGCTCAGTCCTGAGGCCACCTTCCCTGTGAAACCACCCTAGCTGCTGTCATTCATGTGAGCGCTCTCCCTCTGCCAAAGCGCACCCCATGTTCTCCCCAGATCCACCTGGCTCTACCTGGCCCTGTACTATTTGAACTCTTTCTCTCTTTTAAGACCCTATATTCTGCTTGTCTTGTTCTATTCTGTGCAAAAAGAAACTTTTCATGGAGTGAAAAGTGGACTTTTCAATTTACCAAAATATATTAGTTCCTTAAAAAAAAAAAAAACTCTTTATGCCCTTTGCTTGACAATTTCTCCTTTGAGGAATCCAGCTAAGGGGACTATTAGAAATTGGGACAAAGATGTATACAGAAAGATGTTTGCACAGCAGTTTTTACAATGGCAGAAAATAAAAGCAACCTCCTTGTTGAAATATAAAGGAATGTGTAAGTAAATTATACTGTATACATAGGATGAAGAATCTGCATAAAAGGTTTCAATGATATGGAGAAACCGTTAGGAAGAAAGCAGGGAAAATCAGAATACAATACCATAGATATTACCTCAAGTCTATAAAAAAATGAATATGCTTTCACATTTGCTTACACGTCTAACTCAACAGAAGAACTTAAGGAAATACACAAATATGTTGGTGGTTTGTGTTGAAAGCAGAATGATTTTTATTGTTGCTGTTGTTATTTTCTGTTTTACATACTTACAAATTTTCCATATGTTCCCTGAGGAACACATATTTCATGTTTGTAATCAGAAGAGAAAGTTAGTGATTGAAAACCAGAAGGTGCAGTTTTCTCAGCCTCTGTTTGGCTTTCCCTGACATGGCATGTATGTTACGAGTGACACATTTCTAAGGGACCATCTTGTGCGCTGTCTTCTGCTGTGTGTTGTTACACCCTGGGATTGCAAATTCCGTGATGAGTTCAGCCTGGCTTTGCCCATCACTTCTGTGATTTGCTGTCCTCCTTGGACTCACCCAGAGTCTTGTGGGTTGCTGTGTCCAGGAGCTCCTTGGGTGAGACCCTTGGGAGTGGCCCCCGTCCTTTAGAGTATGGCTGTCTATCTTTTGTGAAGGTGGTCCCTGCCCTTGGCTCCCGGGGCAGAGCCCCGCTCAGTGATGCTCAGAGGGTCCCTTTCCATTAATCAGCAGGTGCTCAATCTGCACACACTTTTCACTGAATGGTTAACATGGGTATCACCCCTCAGATGCCTAGACCTGGCACCATCTCTGTTTAGGACCCAGTGGTCCCATGCTTCTCAGTGTCTGTGGGGTTCTGTGACGGACATCATCATTAGTGGCTGTGCCAGGTGGGATGTTCACGCTGCATTCCTCCATCTCTCATTTCCATCATAGCTGTGGTCATGGTTCTCATGTTTCCATTTCACAGCTGGAGAGACTGGCTAGGTGGCTTTTCCAGAGTGCCAGCGAATCTAACATCCAAACCCAGGGTGCCCCTATAAATCTTGGTTTCCTCTGCTTTGCCAAGCCTGTAGCTACTCAAAGGCAGAACACACTTCCCCCAAAATGCCCACAGATGCCCAGTTCATGTCACTGGGTCACCGTTAGGACAAACCACATTGAAAGCCTTTACACTGCTCATTGGAATTGTGTACTTTGGACTTGGACAGAGTCACCCAGTCTAAAAATGTTATAGCACTGATGTAAGGGGATGTGAAAGGGATACGTGGATGCCATTGCGAGACCTGAAGGCAAGACAGCTCAGAATTGGGGTCTGAGGCCTATGTCACCATAGGAACTGATCCACTGCATGATGTCACCCGGAATAACAGGCACCACCGGCCTCACAGACCTGCCTTAATGGGGATCTGGGGACGTGTGGGTACTTGTCCCCTCTAGACAAGGGTCAGAGTGAATAGTTCCCCTTCCTATCATGGTTAATAAACCAAACAGGACCTAATACAGAGCGAATAGGAGGAAACTTCCCCCACATAAACCACTGGGAGAAGAAGGGGGTGTCTTCTCTGTTCTCTGACCTGTGGAAACAGAGGGCATGTGCCCCAAGCCCTAGGAGACCCTGGAATTTAATGGACATCATTTAGCACCCACCCACAGGAAGGCCACAGAACCCACACAACTCTTGAAAAACCAAACACTGATCAGTGGTTGGATAATAAGAAATTAGCTGTAGAACAGTGAAAGTCCATATGTACAATGTGAGCAATGAGACCAACCCAGACTAGTGAAAAGTGTGAGTTACTAAATGAATTTTAAATGCAACTTTATTAGTTTAAAAAGGCCAGGCATTTAGGAGATAATTCATAAGTGCTGAATGGATATTTTGGTGAGTAGACAGGTAGATAAATAGGTACATGGATAAGTTAATTGATTAATTATGGGCAGTTAGCACATAATAGCACTTACTCCGTGCCAACCCCTCTTCTAAGTGCATTATACTTATAGACCTATTCAATTCTCAAATAATCCTCTAAGTAAGTACTACTCACAGCCTCATTTTAAGAGATCACATGAGCCTCTGAATGGCAGGGCTGGAATCGGGGTCGAAGGTGTCTTCGCTAGAGTGTTGGTGTGAAGCCACCAAGAATTCACACTCACGTGAAGGATGGAAGGTTTGAATGTCATTCACTGTACCAATGGCATGCCACTGGGGGGGGGGATGGAAAGTGTGTTTCTATAACTACATCTGGCTCTTTGAACAAGTCCTGTGCCTGTTGTCTCAGGGTTGGGGAAACCGAGGCTCAGAGAAGGTCTTGGTACCATACCAGCCTGTGCCCAACTGAGGCCAGACTCAGACCTCTGCATGACACCATTTGTCCCTCACACCCCACCCATGGCCAGCCCAGTACTCCTTTGCAAACCCTCCTCTCTGGTACATGTCCAAATTCCTTCAAATGTTCCACTACAGAGGAGCCCCAACCCACCCTTTACTCCTAGCGTAGCCCCTCCTTCCTAAGGCAACATGGTGATAAAGATACCAGCCCTCCAGGAGCCCAGACTTCTCCATATACTGAAGCTGAGACCGGTTTCTGGAAGGACCAGAGATCTTGCAACAAGCTTTAGCATGGACCTTGCTTTTCCTTTTCAACAATATGAATGGGGGTGGGAAAACCCTGCTGGTTCCCTGTGCTCCAATTATGATGCACATACAGATTCCCACCAGCAGGCGGCGGCAGAGCCTTGCAGTTACAGATGCCCCACCTGGAGGCAGGCTGCCTGACTCCTGACTTCTGGGACTAGCTGAAGACCTCACTTGCCTCTCAGAGCCTTAGGCTCTTCTTCTGCAAAATGGGCACAAAATGCCTACCTCGTAAAATTGTTCCAAGGATCACATGGTATCATAACATAGTGTTGAGTAACAATGTGGTACTGACCACCTAATTAATGTTAAGCGTTATTTTCTCATCATAATCAGCATGATAGAACAAGTCCCCAGAACTTACCCACCCTGAGTTCTGAGACTTGTCATACTGGAAATGACAAGGCCCCAACTAAGGTCTTAAAGATTCTTTGGTTATTCAAAGGGCCTCTATACCTCACCTTCATGATGATGTTTTCCGTAGAAGTACCAGTCCTAGTGCCTAATAAATACACCAGGAGGGCAGGCATGGATCCCAAATATGGCAGTGACTTGTCCAAGAGCTTTAAAACCCTTACCCTGATTCAGAAAGGGGGATTCTGGGGACAGCATGACTGCCTCTGATCCTGCAATCACAGACAAACTCATTATAGCACTGGGGGGTGGGGGGGATCCTGTTTGTATTATTTAGCATTTTGCCAAAATTTAACAAAAGCTGTATTGATGAAATCATCACTTATAACCACATGCCCTGAAATAGTTTCAGATGCCACTGCCTGCTTTTTCTTAAGCGGAACACAGAAACATTGAGTTGTCAATACCTTCCAAGAAAAGCACTGGGCGCCAGTCCCCGGCAGAATATCTCCTTATCTTTCCAGGAGGCGGCCTTGGGTGCCTCTCTGAGACCCGCCCTTGTTTTCACAGCTGCGCCCCAGCTGAAACTCCTCTGCGGGGCAGACATCTTGAGGACCTTCCAGACCCCCAACCTCTGGGAAGACGCACACATCCAGGAAATAGTGGAGAAGTTTGGCTTGGTGTGCGTGAGCCGGGTGGGCCACGACCCCAAGGGGTACATCCTGGACTCGCCCATCCTGCGGAGGTACCAGCACAACATTCACCTGGCCAGGGAGCCCGTGCAGAACGAGATCAGCGCCACCTACGTCAGGAGGGCCTTGAGCCAAGGGCAGAGCGTCAAGTACCTGCTGCCTGACCCTGTCATCGCCTACATCAGGGACCAGGGTCTCTACACCAAGGACAGTTCCTGGCAAGCCACAGGCACCCAGAAGGGCCAATGAAAGACGAGCTAGGAGGGACTCAGCCACCCCTCCTCCGCCCAGCGCCTCTGGGGAGAAGGCGGTGCAGTTTTTGGTTTGCTTTTGGGTTTTGCTTTGGGTCGGCATTTTTCATTTGTTTTATTTCTACAGTGATGTTACCCTGAAGTCTTGATTCTCCTGCTCCAGGACAAGATAACCTGCCCCCACAGCAAGGACAGACGCTTATCAAGGAAGTTAAAATGATGGGGCAGGTCCTGAGGATCAGGCAGACCCTCTCAGCTCCTGCATGGTAATTAGCTCTCCGCACACTGAATACCATTCTGTGCGCCCCAGGGTCCGAGCAGAATTGCCCACGTGCATTTTTTAACTAGGACCAGGTGCATCATGCTGGTCTTGATTGGCGGGATTTGACAGGATGCTAATTACTGAACAGTGGGCCTTGTCAATGTCCTGGTTTCAAACAGAATAATACTAAATGGAGGAGTCAGACATTTGGAAATTTGCTGATTTCCACTGCATCTTGCCTTACAAACCATTGTCTACCTGCCTGCGGGCCTTTCCTCAAATTTCAAGTAAACTCTTTCTAAGGCGCGATCCTCAAGTATTATTTTTGATACAGCAAGTATTTTTAACACTGCTATTCTCCAAATGCCAGGGCTTCTGGTTTCCCTGTTTCTAAAAAGGAACAGAGGTAAAACAGATGCCTGTTTTAGATGTTTTTGAATGTTTTATGACTGCTTACCTGTTGGAATATTGGCAAAGGGATAAATAATAAACTGACATCAAAAAGTGCTAATGAAAAGTTTCTCTTTATTTTTTTCCTCCCTTTGTTATATTATTAATGCCTGGTGTGCCGGCTGTTGCTCTTCTTTTTAGTCACTCCAAGAAATTTGCTACTGTTCCTACTGGAATGACATGAATTTGAAAGTTTGTGTCCTGGGTCCAGGGAGCACAGGAAATGATCGCTTTTCAAGGTCATGCAAACAGTTTTCTCATCCAAAGCACTGGATCGGTGCCTCTGTTGAGGTGGCCTCAAAAGGGAGCAGGGGCCTCTGGTGTGTTCAGATCTGACATTGCACTCCAGGTCTGGCAAGGGCTTTGGGGGGGCCTGATTGGTTTGGGGTTTTACTCCACACCTGCTGACCACTGACTGCACTCGGAATTTGCTTCTGCATAGCTCTCCTCTGGCTCAGCTTTGTTTCAGATTTAATGGTGCAGGAAAACAAAGGGCAGGCAGGAAAAGCTAATGCTTCCTCTAAGATACCCCAATATTCGTGTTGTATCCTGAAATCAATATCAGAAAATCAATATCGGTAAAATTTAAACTAAATTTTAAACTAAACGAGGGTAGGACACTCATTTAAGACACCCCCCCCCCAGACTTCCCTCCCCTACTGGACTCTGCTCTTGAGAAGGTCCCCGAGGATCTCAGAACTCAGGGGAAGAGGAATCAGACAGTCTTGTCCAAAAGATGCCATAATAGTGTGACCTGCCTAACTCCCTTCTCCACTGGAAGTCTGTTTCTCTACCTTTAAAATGGGAGTTTGATTGGATATCCTCTAAATTCTCTCCTACCTCTCATTTTCTAAGACTCTGAGTACTTCTGACTTTATTTCTTTTTTACCCTGTCCAGGCGTCTTTACACACATTTCTAGCAAGATAGACAACTCCCCACGGGCAGGGGGGGTCTTTGTTTTGTTTGTTGATATATCCTAATATCCTAAGTGCCTAGAAATTTGCTACTCAAAGTGTAGTCTAGACCAGTGTTTGTACCCCCCTAGGTGTTGGTTAGAAACACTCTTGGGTCCCACTATAGACCTACTATTCTGGAAAAGGACCTTTGAAAGTATACACAGTTCAGGCTTCACGAAATGGATTTGCCCGATGACGGTGTAGACAGCAGGGAAGTGACAATGGACTTGAGACATGGAGGATGTGTTCCCAAGACTTGGGTGTGATGGAGGTGACTGGCTTTCGGGAAGAACAGCCTATACAAAGGCCCCGAGGCAGGAGAAGGCAACATAAGTACCACGATGAGCAGGCTTCATCATCACTTCCTCAAGAAAGCATCAGTTATTCCATCGTGCACCTGAGAGCAGGTACCTTGCCTGCTACCATCTCCCTTTCCAGTCTCTCCCTAGTCTCAAGGTACCAGACCCAGCAGGCTTTCTAGACAAGTCCTCATCTCCCTGGTCCACATCTGTATAATATGGCTTCCACCAGGTAAGGCATGAATTTCTGAGCCTTTCCATTGTCTCTTTCTAAAGTAAAAAACACAACGAACCTTTATTAAAATATCTATGTATTCATGCACACATGTATATATGCATCTTAATTTCTCTTACCTTGCTTTGCCTTATTGATTCATGTATTCTCTATTTTTTTTAATAGAAAGGAAAATATGTATCGCGGCTGTGGCCCTGGCGCACTGCGTTGACTCTGACCTGCACACCTGATTTCACATTCCTTCCCATTCCCTCGGGTTCTGTTTGCATTTAGTTTGCCAGACTGTTTTGTTTATTTTGCAAGAACAGAAAAACAGAGGTTTTGGCTCCTGGGTAAATAGAATTTCCAGTCTTAAATAAAGGTTCTCCTGTGATAGCATTTGCTGCCCAAATGAGAGGAGTGCCGTATCCTTGCCTGGAGAGAGAATTTTTCATTTATAATCCTGTCTGTGTCACTTGGGACAGGATGATGTGAAATCCCATTTTAAACTGATTGTGCTCCGGATTTGCAAGGTACGTTTGGTAATTGGGTTAATACATGAATATGAATTTTCTTATCCTGATCTTCCTGCTTCCTATAGGAGCGATGTTTCTGCTCTTCTTTTTTTTTTTTTTTTTTGCAGAGGGCACCCTGCAATTCAATTCAGTCATGAAGTTATTTTCTTAGACCCAAACTGGGTATTACAGCTACACACACAAGTGACTAATACATAATCTACAATAATTCACCTAGACATGAGCCTCAGAACAGTTTAGTACTGTTAAAGTAAAAGGATTGTCCATGGCACTATAGACTAGAAGGGACCCTCAATTTCATCTGGTCTCCCGTTTTTCCATTATCATGAAGTCCCACAAATGAATGGGAATTTCGCTATTAAAAACGACACCGATGATGCGTTCCACGGACAGATTTGAGGAGCGCGGCTTTCCTTGCGCCTGTTGGAAGTCCGTGGTGTGCTTGAACAGCCCGTGGATACTGCCTTCCATAGCCCCTTACTACAAGGCCTCCCAGCCCAACCACCATCTTCTCTTACTGCTGCTGCAGTGACCTAATGGAAGTCCCCAACCCACTTCTGGCCCTGCAATCCATTCTCCACATAAGATCTGTGTGCAAATCTGGTCACATCACCTCACGACTCAAACTCCTTCTGGAAGGCACCATTCAGACAAGGAAAAGACAGACTAGGAGGGAACATTTGCAAAATGCATGTTTAGTAATTTGTCTCCTGAATATGTAAAGAGCTCTAACAACAACAAAAATAAGATGAATGATCCAATTTAAAATGAGGTCTGCACCTACTAATAGAAAAAGGAGGTCCAAATCTCCATCACATCAGCTAAGGAACTTACTTCCTCAACAAGACTCCTAAAGTGCAAGAAGTAAAATCAAGAATCAATAAATGGGATGGTATCAAACTAAAAAGCTTCTTCACAGCAAAGGAAACAAGAACATGAAGAGAGAGCCTACAGAATGGGAGAAAATCATGTCACCTACACCTCAGATGAAGCATTAATCTCCAGGATCTATAAAGAACTCAAAAAACTTAAAACCCAATTAATAAATGGGCAAAGGAACTGAACAGAAACTTCACAGAGAAGAAACACGATCAGTCAACAAATATATGAAAAAATGTTCAACATCACTAGCAATTAGATAAATGCACATAAAAACTGCACTGAGATTCCATCTCACTCCAGTCAGAATGGCAGTTATCAAGAATACAAATAACAATAAGTATTGTCAAGGATGTGGGGAAAGGTACATTCATACACTGCTGGTGGGACTGCAAATTTATGCAACCACTGTGGAAAACAGTTCTAGAGATTCCTTAGAAAACTTGGAATGGAACCACCATTTGACATAGTTATCCCACTCCTTGGCATATCCCAAAGGACTTAAAATCAGCATACTTTAGTGACGTGACCACATCAATATTTATAGCAACCCAATTCACAATAACTAAGCTATTGGAACAAATCTAGGGGCCCTTCAACAAATAAATGGGTAAAGAAAATGTGGTATATAAATGGAATATGACTCAGCCATATAGAAGATTGAAATTATGGCATTTGATGGTAAATGGATGGAACTGGAGATTATTATGCCAAGCAAAATAAGCCATTTCCAAAAAATACAAAGCCTGAATGATCTCTCTGACATGTGGATGCTAACACTCTATAAGGGGGTGGGAAGGGAAGAATAGAAGTTTATTGGATTAGACAAAGGAGGACGAAAGGCAGGGAGGGGCATAGGAATGGGAAAGACAGTGGAATAAATTGGACATAACTTTCCTGTGTTCATGTGAATACATGACCAGTTTAACTCCACATCACGTACACCCACAAGAACGGGAAGTCATTCTCCATGTATGTATGATATGCCAAATGCACTCTACTGCCATGTATATCTAAAAAGAACAAATTAAAAAGTTCTCAGAAGCATTGGCTAGACACATGCAGGTGAGCCCAGCATCCTGACATTGCTTTTTGGGAAGGGTCTGCTGGTCGGGCGGGTGCTCGTCTGGCATCTGAGAGCTTGGCTTTTGGAAAGCTGCCTAGTCTTTACCAGGCAAGGCGGCTTCGTCTTCCTGGGGCACTGAAGCCTGCTGACCACCTGTCTGGACCACTGGACAGACAATGCCGTTTGTGGTGAATGCCTTCTAGGAGTTTGGAATTCCAGTAACCAAGGCTGGTCGTGTGGCTGAAGGTGGTGCCTATATACACCACCAGCCCATGAAGGGACAGGAGACTCTGCGTCTTGAGCAGGCTTTCCTGGGCAGGGCTGTGCACCATGGCCGCATTTCACAGCCAGAGCCAGACCTGCTCTGTGGGACTCCACCCCAGGAGCAAGGACTGTGGAAGCCTGCCCTGGACTCCTCCTGGAGCCTCCACCTGCTGGGTGTGCATCCCTTCTCCATGGTAACCATGACCGTGCATGCATATAACTGCCTCTGGGGTCTGTGAGTCCTCTCAGCAAGTCACCAAAGGCGGAAGCCCCACACCAGACACTTCTTCGCCAGGAATGATATATGAATGGCAAACAAGCACAGGAGAGAGGCTCAGCATACTAACCACGAGGGTTTGAATGTAAACCAGAACCAGAATGAGCCACGACTTCGTACCTATTAGGAAGGTTAAAACTGGCCCAGCAATTTCCCTCCTCAGAATCTACCCCAAAGAGTTGAAAACATCTGTCTGCTCATACCATGTGCAAATCTGCAGCAGCATCACAGCCCAATACAGCAAGAACTCCGATGTGCGTTAGGTGAGTGGAGGTGTGTGTGCTGTATCCATTCGATGGAACGCTGGTAGCTCTCCACTGCCATAGCAAACACCTGAGATAACCAGCTTACGAGGACAGAGCCTGACTTTGGTTCACAGTCTCACTGTTCCCACCCCTGGCCCCCTTGCTTTGGGGCTGTGGCAAGGCAGAACGTTATGGTGGGGAGTGCAGGTGGAGGAAGCTGCTCACTTCACGGTAGCAAAGACAGAGCCAGGTGGAGGAAGGGCTTGGGTCCCCCTCCCCCCCTCACACCTCTGTGACACCTTCCTTCCACTAGGCCCCTCCTACCTGGGGCTCCATCACCTGTCCCCAGGGCCACAGGCTGGGGACAAACTCCTCAGCACACGTGCCTTTGGGGAAAATGCAAGATCCAAACCGCAGCAGATACTGTTCAGTCATTTTAAAAAGGACTAGGGACCCCACAACACGGTTGACACTCAGAAACACACTAAGTGGACAAGCTGAACGTAGGACCTATGGTTCCAATTACAGGAGCGGAACCATAGAGGTGGAAAGCAATGGCCGTCTAAGGGGGGGGGAGAGGACTGATGGCAGGGAAGCAGGGAGAGCTTCCGGACTCATAGAAGTGTTCTGAAACTAGATGGGGGTGATGGTCGCACAATACGTAAAGTTCATAATCACCAAAAGTCATTTTAACATAAAATGGGGACATTTGTGGTGTTATACTTCAATAAAGTTATACTTCAATAAAGGTGAATCTTAAAAATCCTCTGAGCTTCCTCTGCTCGCCTTCTGAGTGAAGTCCCAACACCTCTGCAGTGGTCCCCAAGCAGTCACTGTACTCCCAGCTCCCCCTGCTCCTTTGTGACACTTGTTCCTCATCACTAATAGAACTACTGATGTCCAAGCACAGCTCCTGGCTCAGAGTGGGCACCCAATATTTCATAAAATAGCATCTGAACAAGCATCTCAATAGCTTGAAGAAGCCTGTGATTTAAAAAAAACAAAACAACAAAACAAAACTTTAACTTGGCAAAGCACTGCTTTTGAAGCATATTTGTGCACAAAATCCCTCTTTATACTTAATAAGAGGAGGGACATAATACTCAAAGGAGCAGTTTGACTTCTTATCTACAAGATTCTTTTCTAATTTTTTTTTTTTTTGCTGCTACAAACAATGCTGCAATATAAACACCCTTATGCATAAACCTTTACGAGCGGTGTTTTTGTGGGACAGATTCCTAGGGGTGGTATGGCTGGGTCAAACAGTAAGTGCACTTTTTATTCTAATAGTTGTTACCAAAATGTAGATGGTAGATTTTTTTTTAAGTACATTGGATTTTTTTTAAACAATCTCAGAGCTGCTGAAATGCTTGCTGCCTTTCCCTTTGCAGTGAAGCGTCTTCATTATCTCTGATACAAGTCAAAGCAAAATCCATCTCTTTATTGCAATAGATAAACTAGGATGAAAAATTTCAGGAACTCATTTGCCACGGATAAGCCCAGCAATCTGCGGACAAATGTTCCTGTTGTTTGCTGGGTGCCTGAGAGAAGGGGGTATTTTTGTCTCTTTGATGAAGAAGAGTTCTTTTAGAGGAAATAAGGTGGGGGTTCGGAGGGGAGGTTTAGTAATCATGGCAGCAATGAAGGACAACAAGAGGACACGGTAGATGTCCAGGCTTCGGGTCAGATTGGAAAGAAAGAAGTCCCCACCCCAGCTTCCCCCATCTCTCTTTTACGGTTCAGATGTGAGGTGTCCCCCAAAAGCTCATGTGTGAAACAATGCAAGAATGCTCAGAGGTGAAATGATCAGATTATGAGAGGTGTGATCTCATCAGTGCCTTTTAATCCACTGATAGGGATTCACTGGGCTCTAGCTGTGACATATAGGTGTGGCTGGAGGAGGTGGACACTGGAGCATATCTTGGGGGTTTATATTTTGTCCCTGGAGAGTGGAGCACCCCTACCTCACTTCCTGATTGCCATGACCTGAGCTGATTTGCTACTTCCTTTTTCTTCCACCATGATGTTCTGCCTAACCCCAGGCCCAGAGCAATGGCGTCAGCCGGCCATGGACTGAAGCCCTGAAAAAGGGACCCAAAATAAACTTTTCCTCCTCTTTGTTGTTCTTGTTCTGTATTTTGTTCATAATAATGGAAAAAGCTGACTTTGTCCTTTCTTCTCGGCCCCGCCCCTCCCCCTCCCCCCCCCCCCCCCCGCTGGCCTCTGTGTTCCTCAGCTGCTGCATGTCCTCCTGCAGCCTCAACACCTGTGCCCAGGTGACCTTCCACCTTCACCCTCTTCTCTGTCACCATTCCAGGTTCCCAAAGACACTTGCTGGCCCTGCATGGACTTGTCCACCCTGGTCCACGTGGCATGGCTGGCAGGGCAGGATCACATGTTCCTGTGGCAGTGAAGCTTCTATAAGGAGGAGGGACAGGCAGCCAGGAAGGGAGGGGTGGGCACATCCCCCACTGGGTAAGTGCCACAAAACCAAGAGAACTTAGAGGTCTGTGTACGTGCCCTGCCCTCCTGCTGTTAGAGGGGGTGGACTAGGAGGACATGCTGGAGGCCGAGGTGCATTGGAGGAAGAAAGAGAGGCCTTGGGTAAGGGGGCGAGGATGGCACCTGCTGCCACCTCTCCTCTCCACAGCTGCTCCTGGGCCAGACGGATTGGCAGGTGGCGGAGGGAGCTCCCTATCTGCCCAGACATTGCCTCACATGTGTTTGAGGGAATGAGGGCCTAGGAGCCTGGCTTCTACAGGGGTGGGCAGAACAAAGGGCCTCAGTTGACCTGTCGGGCATGACCGGCAGCCCAATTCTGCAGGGAAGCCAGGGCCTTCCTCTGTGTGGAATGTAGGACAAGCAGCGTGGAACTGGCCTGGCGTCCCCATCCTCCCAGGCAGCCCCAGGGCTTGTCTTAGTATTCACAAAATCCCTGGGAACACTAATTTGACCAAAACTCAACAGGCTTCTTGGCAGAAGGATGGCAAATTTGTACAAATGGATGCTGGATGTGTGGAGTTCCCTGTCATCTCAAGATGTCACCTTGTCCCAAGACCTTTCTTTGCTAATGGCTACCCACCTCCCCCTGACCTGAGCTGTAACAGAGCCTCTGTTCACTGCTCCAGCTGTCCATGTGTCCCTCCACCACGTCCCATCACCCTGGCTGCCCTACTTCCACGGCTGAGTGCTGGCCTGACTGTACACCCTCTGAAGACAGGAGCTATATCAGAACAGCTCGGTGCTTCACAGGGTCTGGACCAAGCGCCCCAGTGGCTGGGCACTGGGTGGCCTGGCTGAGACCTGGCATCCTCTTCCTCACCCCTACAGCAACCTGAGCTCCTTTTATGGAC